TCTCTCTCTCTCTCTCTCTCTCTCTCTCTCTCTCTCTCTCTCAGCACTAAAATTTTGAAACTTAAGCTATACAATTTTATTTTAATTAAGTTTTCTTCTTTTCTGTTTTTAAAGTAATGCCAAGTTTTTGGATTAATTCTACAATTTAAATTAATAGAGAAAAGTTGCATATATTATTCTTTCTAAAGTAGAAACTCAATCAGTCTATAACTGATTGTCTTGGGATAACGCTACATGAATCTAATCTAGCGTTACCTATTAAGAACATACATACATCCACATAACAAATATATAAGCATAATATAAGTAAATATGTAAGCATTAGGGATGTAACGAAAGTGGTTATAGCAAAAGCAAATGCGAAAACGAAAGAAAAAAAATTTTTTTGCGAATGCGAATGCGAAAGATCTTTTTTTTCTGCTGAATGATTAATCAGCCACAATTACTGACAGTCACAAAAAATAATATATAATATTTAAAAAATATTGCTAATTCCTATTCAAATTATTGAATGATGGATTGAAAAAGATGAATGCAAATGTGTAAATTAGTATTTGCATATGAACGACTTATTTATTTTAAATTAAATAATCAAATAAAATACAAAATACATTAATTAAAATTATATAAAATAAAAATAAAATAAAATATGTTCTTATTCTTGAATCTTGTATTGCAACTTGTAAAATAAACTGACTCCTATAACTCTAAGTAAAGTAACTCAATATACTTTTTATTAAGTCAACATAAAATAAAATTCTTCTAAGAATTAGTTATACTTTTATATTATATACTTAATAAGAATAAGTATTACTTATTAGCTTATTTAAATTGGCAAACCAACGAATGAAATGTAAACTGCTTTCCCACCATCTAGTGTGCCCTCGGTGAAGCTGCGAATTCCACGGACCGGACAAAATCTTTCGTTAAAACATCGCATAATTAGATGCAAAAGCGAAAGTCTAAAATGATGCGAAAGTCCAAAATGATGCGAAAGTTTCGCTTTCGCATATGCGAAAGCGAATATTCGTTACATCCCTAGTAAGCATTATCATAATAGTAATAAACATAATAATAATAGTAAATATCTTACATACTTTCTTCATCTTGTAGCCGATAAGCCAATGCTCCGTCTTCATGTACCAACCATTCACGGCATACTGTAAAATTACACAAGTATGTACATGTTCACATTATGAATATCAATGCAATGACCAATTGTAACTAACTGTATAAAGTCAGGAATGTTTGTTTATGAATCTTTACATTATTCTTTGTTGCGTTTCCTACACTTAAATTATATATTAAACAAAAATATATACATATATACCTAAATATAAAAAAAGAGAAAGACTGAGTATACATAGGAAAAAGAATCAAGCTTACAGAGAATTTCATGTCTCACACAAGAGAAGCAAATGTTGAAGAGAGAAATACAAAATCTCCAAGTCTTACCTTCATTTACACGACCAGCCTTTGGCAGTGTGTCCGAACTCAACACAGATTTCGCCATTACACGTTTTCCGTTCTTGTCGACCTTATGCAGAATCAGCAAAATCACCGATGATCCAAGTTGCGTTTACTTATAGTCCTTTTGCGCAAGGGCAGTAATCACATTGTTTTCTCTCCATCTTGAAACTACATGAAACGCGATGAAACGCAGCTGGCTATCACTAGCAGTGAATGTCACACACGTGAACAAGAGTTTATGAACGATTTTATTTCGATTTCACACAGCAGACAGCACTCTGGTACCACCTGGCAGAGCATTAAAAAAATCTTATAAATGAAAACCTTCAAATTTTGTTTCCAAATGTTAAAAATGTTGCCATAAGAGTAATTTGAAAAAAATTGAATTTCTTTTGTACTTCATGTAGCGCATATCTTTTATAGTTGAAATCACAACAAAGCGAACGAAGCGAACAAAGTGAGACAAAGCAATTGTCATGAATAATATTGTGGATAAAGCTGTTAGTTTTTTGCGACGAATAGTAAAAAATAGTACTGACGCGTAGTAGCAGTAGCGAGAAATTGTAATGAATGAATCAGAATGAATGTCGAACACGCGCACACGGTGAAAGGTGGTGAAAGGGGTAAAACAAAACGGTAGCAACTAGGAGCGTTAGAGCAACTGAGAAAAGAAAGGAACCTAGCCTAACCTAACTCTTGATTGAGGTCAATGGTCATGTTCAACAGACTCAACTGTTGCGGAGCGGATCTGTGAGCGCTCGCTGCTATTGGTATATTCTTTTAGATCATCTAATATCTGCTAAAATTATGAAATATTTCATTAAATATAGATCTAAAATTAATTGTCCGAAAGAACGTCCGCGACGAAAAATGTTTAGTAGCAAAACAATGGCAATGCATTCTGTAATCAAATAATTTATTTTTATAATCTATATATTTTATATGTTTATAAACTTTATATATTTTATAATCTGTGTTTTTATGTTTTATTAATAAAATAATTTAATTATTAGCAAGTAAATAGAAAGGTTTTCTTAATTTATTATTTCATCATATTTTCAAAATTATGCTGCGCTTGTAAGAAAATTTCAACAGCGACGATTGGTCGCGCCATATTCTTTCTTAGCCAATGAGAGTGACGACATCTTTGGCCAGACTCCCTATTATAGGGTCTCTAATCGCAACCACCTATCAACAGAAATGGCTGCATTCAACAGTTTTGCAACCGTTTTATGATTCGTCTCGCTGATTGGATTATACTTTTAGATCTAAAAGAATAGTCCTATCTCAACGAAGAATCATAAAACAGTTATAAAACTGTTCAGTCTGCTGAACGCGCAACCATTGGTTATCTCTTACGGTCGGTACTAACAGATACATACAACTGATTGGTGCTAGCCAGTTAGTGATGAGAGATCTTATAACATTTTCGGCCCGACCAAGGGTTGGTTTTGCACCAACCTGGGTTGGAAAATACTTTGCTATTGGTAGACTTTACACGCATTTACACGCTCTAAAAATAGGAAAACACAAAATATTATTAATTCTACCCAAGTTAAACCTTAGTATTGTTCGTTTTGTCTCTCGGGAGCTGCTCAGAGTCCCTCCGAACGAACCCAGCATACTTGGATACAATTCATTTAATGCTGCAAATGCTTCGTTGATCAATTAGAAGAAAGAATTTTACGTATTGATCAATCAAAGAATGTTTCGAGGTATTTACAACATTAAATGAATCACATCCAAGTACACTGGGTTTGTTTGGAGTAACTCCGAGCAGCTCCCGAAAGACAAAACGAACAGTACCCTTGTGTCCACGCATAAAGATAGTAGTACTAGCCATATATGTAATACTACTATATGGCTAAATGAGAGAGAAGTCCATGTCCCAGAACCACGGTGCGGGAATATACTTCTCTCTCTTTCTCAGCGTACTTTGAACGTTGTGCGCATGCGTCGGATCATCCCCTCCATCAATAATAAATAGAAGGATAAATATACATATATGTGTAAGGAAGAAGGAAAAAGTGATTGATTCCGCTTCAGGGTATAACCTTGTTACAGTTAACAGAGTCAGTTTAGTCGGAATAAATAAATTAATCCTAATTTTATGAAATAAACTTTTTCAAGATTGCCGTTATGTATATAAGAATACAGTGCAATCCCTTACAGAAATTTCATGATAATCAGTGCAAACTAATACCTATTTCATACCTATGCAAACTAATGTTTTCAGTC